GGTCCTTTCCCGCTCGAAGACTATGCATTTGACCTCCGCTCTCCATTTAAATATGTTGTTATGAGGACAGATGCATTGTTACTTGTTGGCAATATCATAATACATTAAACACCAAGATTTCAAATGGATTGGCGACGTAAGGAAAAACTAGTACATGGAGAACAGTTTACTTCACGAATGCTTTTAATTGCTACTGTATATGAAGATCATGTGAGCAATTCAATCCAAAGCTTCGTCATCTCGCCTGTTCAAAGAATCATTCTTGACCCACATATCCTCTTAAGCATGGTTGTTCCCATTAACTATGTACAAATCAGTAAGGAAATGGATGAAGCTGTCGCAACACGCAAAGGGTCAAGAGCGGAATATTGTTTTTGTTCAATATAGGAAGGATATTGCAAAATTTGGTTGTTGTGGGCTGTTGTACACGATGACAGCAAAAAAATGTGTGGATTATATATAGTAATAAATATCTATTGAGAAGCTCAAAAAGCATCACAGTAAATATGAGATGGTAATTTTGCGACAGTCAGAGGTCTTCCCGGACCATGTCTACTTCATAAGAGAAAGCTGGCTTGTTCCCGCTGAAAATCTCGCTTCGCTTCTGAAAATCGAAATACCTACTTTTCAATGTGTGAAACGAGTTGACACCAACAAGAGGTACAGCGAGACCATCGGCTAGTGTAGGATTGCTTTTGGTGAATACTGGTTTTCCTGCTTCGAGAGATTTCTAAAGAAAACTTCTCATATTTTACTTTATCAGTTTATGCTACTTTCTCCACAGAACTATTAGTTAGTCAATGATATTAAAAGCAAGAATCAGGATCAAATTGATGTCGACTACGAAAGTAATTATGGGAGGTGCACTAGATGCGGATGAAAAAGGAAAGAAAATCGTCAGTTACACAGGAAATACGAGCATTCTTGCTCTACGTTGCAGAGAAGATCAAGGCAAGGAGTGACAGATAATATGAGTGCGGAGAGTGGTAGAGAAGTCCCAGTAGCAAGCTAGCCGGTCAAATTAACGTCAAGACTTGTAGCAAGTAGACATGATATCAGACAGTAGGCGGACCATGTTAGGATTGGGGGAGTCTGGTAGAAGCCCTTTCGTTAGCACCTACCGTCCAAGTGGTGCATTTCAATGTAGGAAGGCGGCGACCTCTGCACCAGCGTACCTAGCGGCAAGAGCGTGTTATTTGGAAAGTGTGAGTGGGTCCAAGACCGAACTGTCAAATAGTGGGGAATAAGTTTGATGCTGCACAAAGCTATCACAATTTTATAACCAGTTTAGCTCCGCACGCAACTGCGCACGTGACATGGTATGCTTCGTTGAAACTGGATAGCCTATGGAACGTTAGGCACCACCGCTAAGAGAATGCAACCTAAATTGCATCGTGAAATGTCCTTAAAACTCGTGAAATGCCCTTAAAACCTTCCCATAGCATTCCCTTTTATCGCAGAAACTCACTGTTTGATACGCGCGAGAGTGCAGAGATATAGTGGTGCATGTAAACAACCACCATGCGTTGAATGTCAGGGAAGTTTAGCGGTCGGATATATGATGCTGAATATTTGAAAAGAAATACCCGATGGTCCTTATCGCATTTCTTAAACATCCACCATACATTCCTAAGAAATGGATAAAGTAACGGTCTAATGGAGTTCGAGACGATGAAAGCAATCTCTATGCTCTTAACGTATATCGTCATTATCAGCCCTTATCTCATTTCTGTCCCTCACCAAACATGTTCTCATCCTACCCTCCACAATTGTTGGAACCAACGCCTCACTGCTGCTGGGACGTGCGCTATGAATTTCGTGGAATTTTCCGTTTCTCAGCCCTCATCAGCTGTTCTTACTTTATGACCACCACCAAATATGTTCCCGCCCACTTCCTACAACATACTCAAAATACAGCGTTCCACGGCTGCAGCGAAGCGCGCTATGAATTTCGTGACAAACGGACACACACACAGACAGACAGATTAAGCGAACTATTTACTGTAATCACACGACAATTATTATGCACCATATTGGCGATTACCTAATTTTGTACAGGCACTGGAAATGGCACGCTAATTACCGCATTTATTACCCTATTCCTTGTTTGATTCAAGGAAAATAGCTGATGAGGGCTATAAAACATATGTGAAGCTTATGTTGATTAGGTAACCATCGTACTCCTAATGGTGATGTTGTTTTCAGCACTGCATCAGCGATGATTTTGACGCCATTGTCAGAAAACAGTCCAACCGTCGAAAAATATGGAATAGGGATAGCTGAGAGAGCGATAAATCTGCATGTGGCATAGGAAAGACCAAAAACGGCACAATGGCTGTCACACAGTTCGCCTACACCAGCGCTCGGTTCAGTACTCCATGTTTGGCAAGAACTCTCGAGCAACGTCGAAATGTTGAAAATAGAATTAAGCTGGCGAATCCATCACTTTGAAACTGCATATTATCATGAGGTTATCGCGAAATTAGGAAGTTGGGAACAGGGTACAGCAACTGAAGGAGAATACTCATAATGAGGTGAAATCAGCCAACTCCCACGCAGATTCTGTTTCTTGCAAAAAAAGACTACATTAAATTTACCACCCAAAAAATTTATGATCTAGGCGAACTTACAAGGAGAGATGGGCAGTTTTCTGGCACTAAAGCGATCACTTTTGTATTTGGAGAGAGCGCTTTAGCCGCCACACAAGTGCCCGCTACAAGCCCACCTCCACCAGAAGGAACCAGAATCGCGTCGACATCTTTGACCTGTAGAAAGAAACAACTGATTTTTCTTGCAATCAACTTATTTTCTCACTGCAGATCGCATCCGAACAATCTCGAAGTACGATCGACGTTTCTATGATGTTTCTTTCGCTGCAGAAAACGTTCGGAACCTGTTCGAATATTTCAACAGCGACGGTACCAGCTCCAGCTAGTACTTTCTATCATGTCATATCCGTTGATGTACTTTCCTCCGCTTTTGCTTAGCAAGATTCAGAGGCCGTTTTATTTCGAGGACCGATATAGTCTTTTGCCCTGGAATGAGATATTGATAGAAAATGTTGGGGCAAAAAAAGCAAACTTTTTTTCTATCGAGCACCTTCCCAAACTTACATCCCGCGCCCGCTGGGCAAGTTCTTCTTCAAAGGGCGACCGACGGGCTGGGGAAAAGTTAACGCCTATTTTTAATCAAAAACTAGAGATTCTGGTGATTGTTATATTGGAAAAGAAGAGAACCATCGAGAACAGGCCCAGAACCCGAGCAAAATGGAAATCCCTTAAATCCCCCGGCTTGAATTTTGCGCACTTGTGATTGCGACGCCTTATCCGCTGGTTGCCCTCCTGTCAAACATGCACGCTCGGTCTTTGCTAATCGTGAGTCACTAGGGCCAACGTATAGACCTTGGCGTGGGAGTGATTCAGGCTAGGTCCGTTGGCGAAGACGGCCGGGAAACCCGCCAACTCTTAGGCATTAGTAGCGGTCCGCCGAGCGTCAAATTTGTTTGGCACTCTAGCTTCGCCACCGCCTGCACGGAGGTCCGTTGGTCCCTATTCATCTAAGATAAAATTACTCTATTTCTCGGACCATCCATGCTAATCGTGGAATTTCCGGCCTTTAAACGGGGACTTTGCCGCATGCGTTTGTAGCCCAACCTCTAAGAGAAACGGCTTAAGCCTAAAGAGGCGGGCTTTGTGATTGCATGAAACTATCGGTTAGGAAACAACGCACTGGGCTTGGCAAGTTAGGATTCTCAGCGTGCTTCTTTTTCATGACCAACAACCGTGTTCAAAAGGCGTCGCCGCTTGGCGGCCTTGGCAACCGAGTTTATAGCCTGAAGAACCTTAGGGAAATTGGCTGTGTTTTGGAAGGCATGTCTCATGGGGCTATAACGAAAGGAAATATTTACTGCGGGGGCGAAGACGAGCTGTTTTGGTGGACAATTTATATGTAACAGTCGCCTGCCATATGAATGCGTATGGTTTGAGCAATATACATGGTCGCCAAAACTGTTTGGAATATTTACTGCGCGACGTATTCCACGCTTCGATGCTTATCAAGGACCAACCGGGAACTTATAAGTGCTAGGCAACGTGGGCGGAGCCTTTCATAAAATATTGGAATCGAGAGCTGTAAACCTGTTCAATCGCGCCAACCCAATCTGGACACAAGTTCGGCAGTTTGCAGGGGCGCCATCGGTTTTTGGAAATTATGGTGGAAACGCGGTCAGAATAGAGGTTTTTTTTCACGAGAAACAAAGTCAGAGAATGATAAATTTTATTGCCTATTTATTGTGCACATGATGGTGGTGAGCGTGGTTCCGTTCCCCAAGGGCGTGCCACGGGAAAACTGCTCCAACTTTGTGAGCTGACGGCGAGACCACGAACAATTTCCGAATGGCAGGGCAAGCGAGAGCCCTCGTGACAGGCCGGCCTACGAACACCCACGTCACATCACAAATGTTAATGTCGCCATATGAATTTCGAGATAATGCTACGGCGTCCGCGGGAGCCGACGCGCACTCGCAAAGCCCGGCGAGTGTGAAAAGTATGCGAGGGTCTCCGGTGCAAGGACGGCATCGGGGGGCAACTAGGCTAGTCCAAAAGCCATGCAACGTATCGAAGACCCGCGTTGCAACATTAAATGTTGGCACGTTGACGGGCCGCTCCAGCGAGCTGGCAGAAGCGCTAGAGCGCCGACGAATAGACTTCTGTGCCGTGCAGGAAACGAGGTGGTCCTGCTGCAAGTCGAGGGACATTGGCCGCGGCTTCAAAGCCGTTCTCTGTGGCGGTCCCAAAACCACCAATGGCGTCGGGATGATTGTCTCTGAACGCTTTCGTGACTCGAAAGTAAACGTGGAGCGCTATTGCTGCACATGAGTCACTGCCTCCTTCGCCTCTTTGATTTCGTAAGGCTAAATTAGAAAAGGCTGGCATGTTAAAGGGGCTAGCTTCAAAAGCGGATTAAGATTGTATCTGCCACTTACTGTGTTTGTAAGGGCTTCATCACAAAACGGTGTGCACGGTGGTATGCAACTAACAAGGGAGGTCTTTCAGGATATGGAGCGCTTTTTCGAAATGGTTTTCTGCATGTTGTAGGGGCTCATGCGAGGAACACAGAACCATGATCCATTTTTCCTGAACGCCTCCAGGAATGTCAAAACAGTGGTGAAGAAATGGTCCAGAGTTCGATCCCCGGTGATGACTAATTTTTGCAATATAGTTTGGCGCCCCAGATTGCCGCCAAATGGCGCCATCGTCGAGAATAGATGTCATTGTCGTGTTTTGCGGCAATTTGGAGGCGCCAACATAAATTGCAAAAATTTGTCATCACGGAGGATCGAACTTTGGACCACTCCTTCTCCGCTGTTGATATTCCCGGGACCATGATTCTGCATTCCTAACATGAACCTCTGCAACAATCGGAAAAGCATTTTGAAAAAACGCTCTATGCCCTTAAAGACCCCCCTCTCAAGACGTGTCAAAATAGTACTTCTTCGCCTTCTACTTCTAGGAGGCAGAATTTACGATGAAAAGTTAGCTCATTGGAAATAAGGGTAGAGGTGGTCAGTGGAGCAGGGATGAAGAAGAAACCATTGAAACGGCCCGAAACCCGAGAAATGGGACCCCTTCCTTGCCCGTTGATTTGCGCATTGATGCGACTCTCATCGCTGTGCCCTCTTCAACACTACGCTCTCTAATCACTCGCCACGTATAGACCTGCGGCGAGTGATTAGATAGTCGGTGGGCGTACCCGCCAACTGCGCCAAAGGGGAGGCCATGTTAGATTGCCGAGGGCATATGATTCGATGCGAGTTGCGTGTTGGTCCGCACCTTAAAGGGTCCGCCTGTCTCTCAATTAAGTAAATTATTCCTTCGTCGACCTCCGTTCGTACTCACCATACAGGAATTCTGCGCAAATATGGTAGGGGATTTATAATTCCTAAAAAAGTTATGAATACTGTTTGTACATTTGATAATTATCTTTGTACTAACTGTAGCCCTAAACTCCGTCCATCCCCTTCAGAGGTGGTTTAGAACATACCGTTGCAGCTGTTGTCAGCTGCTCGACCGTTGTCTGTACGAGTTTTTTGATATGTCTGAAGTCGCGAGATGCAACGTGCCAGAAGTTCTTTCGATCCAGCTCGAGGAATCGCGGACCGTGGTGTAGTTGTTTCAGTAATCCCGTGCTGATTGATTTCAATAAGAAGGAGGCATCGTAGCCGATCACTCAATGCGATGAAAAAAGACGAAAATGGGAAAACCCAGGCAGAAAGGGAATCTAAACGCAGACATGATAATCGCAGCCCCCCCCTCACCCCTGTATTGTTCATCTTCATTGTGCTGTGTCATAGTCTGACTATGCATCAGCCACAGCTGTCACACGCTCCCGCTGCAATCACAAGTCCAGAAGAATAGGAGCATTTGCGAGAAGCATAGGCTAACGAATGTATTGGTACGGTCAAAATTGTTCGAAGATTTTGAGATTGGCGATGTATTGGTAAAGACCGGCTTGATGACTGCCTGCTCGGTAAGCTTTGGAGTACGTACTGCTCCCCGCTGCCGTCTCTGCATCGATTCCTAACGCATTTAACTACATTTATTATATTAAGGACACGCTACTACATAGTTGCCAGCTATTGATATAGCGGAGATTTCGTTCTCTGTTGCATCCAGTTATGACTCACCCTTCTTTCTCATGAGTTGAGCCTAATTACGCAAGCACTTCAATGCCAATAAGCACAAACCGCTTGATTACACAAGCTGTAGATCCACACACCCACGTAGCGATTGCGAGAACATCTGTGTTAACCATTGC